ATGTTTTAAAACATGCATAGCTTATAGTGATAAATATTTATTACGAAACTCCCGCCTGTTCCCCAAAGTTATAGAAGATTCTCGAGAGTAAAAATCAACAATGTGTGTATTTATGTAAACGTTTAAATGTAGCCAGTATTATTAGGTAAATCTGAATATTCTAGAAAGCCTCCACACGCCTATAAATATAACCAACGCGCTGCGCCAAAAGAGAGTATCTTTTATTGGTTTGCTGTAATCAATGTGCTATACACTTCGGAAGCTATAACTGTGATTGTTATAACGCTTACCAATCGGAAAACTTCAGATATTTGACCAGGAACCTTTACAAAGTTCGAACATTACAAATCATTTAACTTCAGTGGATTCTCATCGGGCATTAGCATTGTCAACGCAAACATTTCCTCACGTCACCAGTAGGAAAAGTATTGGCTTGCGTGGCTGATGAATAATGAAGGACAAGGCTAGCTAGCTTCCGGTTAAACGAATCATACCTACTTCAACTCGTAATTAACTCGCTCCTCATGAACCCTCGATAAGATATCAAGCAAGTTCCAGACTAGAAAGAAAACTTTATATTGCTTTTAAGTTTATGAAACTTTTGTTTGTAAATCAATGTTTGTAATAACTATTTGTAAAAAATGTTATTGAAAATTGTATTGTTGTGAGTATATTAAAGCGTATTTGTGTTAAAAATGAAAAGTGTATCAATCTTTTTGGCAAATATCATAAACTAACTACATATCGCCTTTTACCAAAGTAATCCAAAGTATAATTGCTAAATCCAAAGTATAATTTAACTACTAAATTTAAAGTATCATTTAGCTCGGTTTCAGATCATTAAATTGCTGAAGTTCTAGAACTAGAAGTTAAAAGGTCAATGAGAAAAAATGAACTAAAAAAGAGTATTATCAAAATACTAGTCGATGATGATTTGTTGCCTGAAGAAGCATTAGGGGAATACACTAGTGTCCCTACTAGCCAATCGAGGTTAAATGATAAGGATAAACTAGAGATCCAGCTAAAACTCGAGCTCGAACAAGCTCGTATCGAAGCCGCAAACGAGAAAAAACAAATTCGTATTGAAGCTGAAAGAGAAAATAAACGGCTCGAGGCCGAACAATCTCGCATTGAAGCCGAAAAAGAAATTAGACCGAAATAAATGTAAATTAGACTCAACACCGATCGACTAAGGCAAAATGACAACTTTGAACTTAATCAATGTGTTAAAGTACTATCGTTTAATGAAAATGAAGTATATATATATATTTTCAACATTTTAAGATGGTTAACCAAACCATGGAATGGCCCATCGAAAAATGGTCATTATTATTACAAAGTGTTTTAACTGGTAAAGCCCAAGAAACTTATGCCACTCTCTCTTTAGAAGACTGTATGAATTATGATAAGGTTAAAGCAGCTATTCTCAAAGCACACGAGTTAGAACCAGAGGATTATCGCCAAAAGTTTCGAGGTTATCATAAACAAGATAATCAAACTTATATGGAATTGACTGACGAAAAACAGGTTTATTTTGATCGATGGTGTAATTCTAAGCATATTGGCAACAGTTTCGACAAACTAAGA